TTTGATAAGAGTGGCGCCTTTCAAACGTACTGAAACTTTTACCTATCCGCATGGGTGCCGCTGGAGTCAAGTTATTACTAAAAGTCGTCAAGTGAGAAAAAGTTAATATCCGATAACATCGACCTACTTCCCCACTGAGTATATCGTACTTACATGTGTTCCGATTGGCCCAATCGATGTGATTTGCCAATATTACTATGCTTTAAAGTTTCATTCGGAGACAACAGGATTGATTTGTCCAGGGGTCAATCTCAAAAGATAACCGTTAAATCAACCACCAGAACCATTGCGCTCCGTCATAAGACATTTAAGATGTTTCGTCTGAAATAAGTCTATGTATATTGGATTTCTATAGAACAACGATACACACCCATTTCAAAATTGCTACCAACTATAAATGCTATACAGTTTCATGAACAGATTTAACATCGAATCGGATAATTGTTACCACCAGGGAGTGAATAGGAAAAGTTTTTTCAAATTTATTTCGTTGTGCGATTAACCATGCTATGAATTGCAAGCACTTAACGGACATAACACCTTCGTTAAGTTGTTTAAGACGGTAATGAAAATATGCCTTCTGACGACCACCAAACCATAGTCTTATCAGATAAATGTGCGACTGGAAATCGTGAATGTGAATTGGTGGATGAATCAAAATATTTCAAACCAAAAAATTATTTTGGGTTACAGTTCTCCGCGTCTGCTAGTAAATAATACTATATTTTTTTTGATGTAATTTATTTTACTTATCGTCACCTCCAACCCCTCCCCCTTGTATCCGCCACTGTTGTGTAGTACACATGTATGTATGTAAAAATTCTCAGATTAATTTTTGCATATTGAAAACAACGAGCAATTCTTTGCATACTAATGTTTAAGATTAAAGATACCAGCATATTATATTATACTGATTTATTTGATATTTTATTTTTTTATTTTTGCCACTTGTTTGAAAACGTACATAAGTATGTATGTACATATCGCACACCGTCTTCAAAAGAGTCACAGCTCAAAATAATACGTTCGTCAGAAAATGTGAAAAACTATTTCGTAACACATGCTAATCATATGAGCAAGGGCGACTTTACCCTAGGTTTTTTTTAACAAATTATAATAGAAATTTGCTCCGGGCTGAAAGGTATGTAAATAAAAGCTCTGTGCGAATTTTTAGCGCATAATTTCAAAAATGCCAAATTTTGAGTTGTGACTATTTTGAAGACCGTGTGCGATATGTGTAATTGTTTTACTGGGGTATCCATGCCGGAATATACATGCATACGTATACATGTACTTCACGAAAAAAAATTTTCCCAAGCGAATCAAGCAATTTAGTCTAGGTTTTATACTTAGTTTTAGTTCTCCACTTCTAAAGGACCTGCCAATAAGTTTTCAATGGTAACATGTTTTATGTAGTCGTTATTTGGACTAGAATGTCTTGACGGATCTTAGAATTCAAAACATTATCGAAAAGGTACTTGAAAAATTAACCCTTGCGGGAACCGCATCAAATTTTTCATACATTTTCGAAATAAGCCGATTTTTAATGTAATTTTAGGGAACTTTTTAAGGATTTGTTTTTTTAACTTGAATTTCTCAAACATGCCTCCACTGGTTCTCAAGATAACAATGAACAGATATTCCAGAACTTTGTAAGAAACCATTTTTTGGATGTGAGTAGGCTAATTTTGCAAAAGAGAACAGACCTTTCTATCGATAACAGAATTTCATAAGAAATACCTGGTGTAATTAATTACACTGCCGTGAATATTTTTTACTAAATTTTCTCAAATTGCATCACAATTGAATTCGTTTTAGAATTTCTGCAGAATTTTCTACAAATTTCTTTATGTACAGCGTAAAGTTCACATTTTCTCTGGGAATATTTCTGCATCAAAAAGAAAATTTTGAGAAAAATGTCTCTTACTTTTTTTGGCGGTTAGGGCTAGGGATGGGCACCGTTTCCAAAAACGCAGTGTAGCCAAGTCCTTCTCCGCCTGGTCTTTCCAACGCAGATGAGGCCTTCCTCTTCCTCTGTTACCAGCATCGCAGCCCGCGTTGAATACTTTCAGAGCAGGAGCGTTTCTGTCCATTCGAACGATATGGCCAAGCCAGCGAAGCCGCTGAATTTTAATTCGCTGCACTTTGTATATATCGTTGTAAAGCTCATGCAGCTCATCGTTAAGTCGTCTGCGGTAGTCGCCGTCCCCAACGCATACAGGCCCGTAAGATATTCTGCTGACATTATTATTGGTGTTAATGCTGGTTCCCAAATAAACGAATTCGTATACTTTTGCAAACTTGTAACTGTCAACAGTGACGTGTGTGCCAAAACGCGTATGCTCTGACTGTTTGTGTGATGGTAGGTAGGTTATACTTCGTCTTATCCTCGTTGACCGCCAGACCCAATCACTTTGCTTCCTTATCCAGCTTGGAAAAGACAAAACAGAATTCGCGGTTCTTGTTACCGATGATGTCGATGTCATCGGCGTACGCCAGCAATTGCACGCTCTAGTAAAAAAATTTTGCTGAGCGGGTTCAGTTCTGAAGCTCTTATTATCTTCTCTAGCATAATGCTAAAGAAATCACATGAAAGGGAGTCGCACTTTTTTGCTATCGAAAGCGGCTTTGAAGTCGACAAATAGGTGGTGAGTGGCCAGCCTTTTCGCGCTGGTCTTTTTCAAGATTTGGCGGTTTTTGGTTTAAAAGAAGAAAAAAAACCATTAACACCTGAATTTAAAAAAGACTGAAAAAGATCATTAACCAAATTAATAAAAAGCGGCTTCGGAAACAGCGATTTTATTTGAACATCCCTACCTAGGGCTCGATATTCCAATAAGTCTGTACTTAAATGTGCAATTATTTTATAGTACACGACTTTTAGAATATACACGCATATGTACAGTGGCGAAGATATTAATAGGGAGGACATATTTTAGCATTCTTTCTTTATATACCTTCCGTTTATTTAATGTTTATTGTTTTTTGTGAAAGTGTAGCTTGTTATCTAACAAAAACCATGTAAGTCAAAAAATTCAAATTTTGTACAAAAATTAGCAAACTTTGTCAAAGTTTCATCAATATTTTGAGCTTTTTAATTATATTTCTTAGAAACATACTGAGTATGAAGTTTTGTATCCCATTTAAGTATAACAAAGTGCTAATTTGAAGTAGTAGGACGTGCCGTTGATTTTTGGCAATTTCTTTTGTAGAAGGTGTTGCTCATTATCTTCCTGCAAAAAAGTTGTCCAACATATTTTGTATGGAAGAAAATGCGCGAACAAAAAATTGCCAAAAATTAACCGTAATTCCTACAAGCTTGCACTTTCCAATGATCGGATCTAAACCAAATTAGGATGGGACCACCTCTGAGACGCTACCTTTCCGATGCAAAATCGAAATCGGTTGACGTGGTGCAAAGCTATGCGGTAACATACATAAAAAATATATATTCCGACGAATTGATAACCTCCTCCTTTTTTGAAGTCGGTTAAAAAATCATGTAAATAAAAATTCTAAACTTTGTAGAATATTTATAAAAATTCGACGAACAAAAATTAACGGTACTCCTGAATTTTGATATGAGAATTCGGTTTTATTTTTTGTTTAAAAATTACTGGTTAGATAATAAATAAACTATATTTTCTTAAGAAAACAAAACAATAAACACTTCTAAAACTAAAAAAATATCCAAAACTTGCTAAAGTATCTCTTCCCTATTTACTTTCTCGCCACCGTATAAGCAAACTATGGCATTACGCTTGACTGGGGAATTTAATTAAAAACTGGCATCAAGTTGATGCCGTCAACCATTAGATATATGTACGTATATGTATGGATGTTTGTACTATTGTGCAGCATTAGCATTTCGTCGGTGATACTGCAAAACGTCCTATGTCAATTTTTTCCCGGCGATTTGTACGATTATTTATTTTACTTTTGTCTCTTGTCGTGGCTTATGAAGAATTGAGAGAAACAAAAAGCCAAGCTTAATTGAGATCAATCAAAATTTGTTAGATTTATTATGTAACCTACGCTGGTAAAAAGATATGCTTTAACCCGTAAATAAATTTCTTCTCAATTTTGAGCCCTTTTTTATTCTGTGCACTCTTATAACGGGTAAATTTTGATAACTTCTTATAAGCTAGTGAAAAAATATTGCCTGTAGAACAGGCAATACCAAAATTTCTGCAAAACTTCATACATAGCTGAATTGCGGATTATATTGACAACAAGATGTGGTAAAAATGTTTGGTAATAAAAATTGTGCGGTTACAAAATCGTCGGTAAAACGCAGAATTATTTTTCCAACAGAGTCGTTTTATGTTTTTCCATGCTAGCGATTTGAAGTTTTTGAACAGAAAAATTAGTTATTTAAATAAAAGAAAAAAATATTTTTTTATCAAAATTTTTTAAACGATTGTAAGAAAATTGATTCAAACTGTACAATGGCGTATTTATACAAGGTGGCGTTACTAGAGCAGCTGATTTGACATTTTTATCTCTAAACTAGTACACTAGAATGTCAATCAAGACGGAACGGCGTGACTCTAGGATGTCAACAAAACGAATTAACGAAAATTATCTCCAATTTTATTTTGTTTTGACATACCTAAGTATCAAAAAGCAATAACAAAATACATGGGATTTTTACTTATACCACCTTATATGAATGCGCCTTGGGTACTTGCTATTATTTGTTAGTTTGCCAAAATCCCCGATTCAAATGTTAAAATGACAATACAAATGTTTGTGTTATGCTTCCGAAATATGAAAAAGCGTCTATGAAGTGCAGAATAAATGCGTAATCAAACAAACAAAAATCTGTTTAAAGTAAACAAAACAACGCTTGGCGTCACATCATTTGTGTTTTAAGTTGAAGTTGAGTTACAAAAAATTACAAATACTTGGCATACTTTTTAGAACTTTCCATAGTTATATTCTACATTTGCATATACATACATCAATATATTGATTAATATTTGATTTTTACTTTTTAGTTATGCTGCCCCAACTAAGATGGATTTTTACAATCAAACACCAACACATGCTCATTGAAATACCGTCATGCACTCAAATTGTGACAAAAAGCGACAAATTGTAAATGCAGATACTAAAAAGCTCAAAGAGATTACTTTAAACGTTTTTAAAAGCCAATTGTGATAAACAAAAAACCAAAAAGTGCGAGAAAATGACAGTAACCTACACGGCGGAGGTAGCAACCTGTAGAGGCTTTGGCTGCTTTCTGAAATTGCTGCGAAGGTAAGTGAATCATATGTATTTTGCAATATTTCTAAAGTAAGTGTGAATTATCTATAGATATGTATGCTTATAGCCTGTTGTAGACATAAGGCGATAATTAAAACATTTAGCACTGCAGATGAATACAAACAAAACATATGTATGTACATAGTATGTATATAGACCCATATAGATAAGCACACATATATCTGATGTTCACTTGCAGACGCGAAACCAGCTGACACAAATTGAAATTAGACAACAAAAAAACCCACAGGGAAAATTCCTTTTATTTTTTTTTCTAAGAACGAAATCGCTTATGTGCTGACTGCGCCAATCAAGAAGGGAAGAGCAAAATGCTCAGAATCCTGCATTTATAACGGGTGGTCCATATAGTGTTTATTTTTAAATCATATCGCACACCTAGATCTAAAGTGCGATCAACTTGAAAAAAATTTGGGGAAATCTTTTTCGCTTAAATCAATTCATAGGGCTTACTACATCCAACTAATGGATTTTTTCATGATTATATACATTAACTAAAAACTACTGCTATACCTGTTTTTGTCTTAATTGTTTTGAATCTGAACGATCCACAAGCAAGTAAATTTCTCTCTATGAATTTTGAGTTAGCTCACTTTAGATCTAGGTGGGCGATATGCTATTTTTGACAGAAAGTCAGTAGTATATCTCCGCGGAACAAAGTGAATCGCTCTACGCTTGAACAACGTTGGGAAATAATGCAAACGAAATAGAAAAAAGATTTTTATCGAAAATCACATTTTCTGACGAAGCGCATTTTCATCTCGGCGGTTATGTTAACAGGTAAAACTGCCGCATCTGGGAAACGGAAATCTCGTAGGGTCCAATGCATGCTCAGAGAGTGGCAGTTAGGAGCGATGACATCATTGTGGTCGGAAATTGACAACATGGACTTGGACGATCTTTGGCTTCAGATGCATGGCATGCCGTGCCACACGGTTCAAGCCGTAATTGATATTTTCAGCGCTAATCGTGTTATTAGCCGTCTCGCCTACGTTAATTGTCCAGCTCGGAGCTGCTATTTGACGCGGTTAGAATTCTTTTGGTGGGATGCCTTGAAGGACCCATATTATGCGAACAATCCATTAAAGATTCATGCACTAATATCTAGCAAGCCATTCGTCAGATAGAGCCAGAAACTGTCGCTAAGGTCTTAGTAAAACTGGGCTAGCAGGATGCGCTACTGCTAAGGCAGCCAAGGCAGTCACATGAATGAAATCGAGTACCATAAATAATGGGAATATTTGATATTTAGAATAAACGATCGCTAAAATTACTCAAAAATAACCCCAAGATACGTAAACTTAATTTTGAGTCGAAGATTACGGATCTCTATATCGGTTTTCTAGATCAGGTAATTTTCCCATGATACTTTAATTTTAAGTTTGCATTGCGAATGGACAATAATTAAAATTTTAATATGGGAAATATTACTCATACGCCATGTACGTGTATGTACATAAATAGCCATGGGCAATATGGCGTATGAGTAATATTATTTCCTGTTTCTTTTTCATACCAAAAATTATTACACTCAGCTCATACATATCACATTAGATTGGTCCAAAAATAAATTTTCCGAAACAGGGTTTGGGCGCCTTCCAAAATTTTTCATCTTGCCGGGAGAGGTGCTGGTAGCAAACCTTACGTTTCCAAGTATAAACTTAATGGATGGTCATAATGCTCAGTTTTTACTCTAGAAGTATTGGGTATATACATTAATCAAACAATTGGTTAAGTAACCTAAGAACATTTCAAATTTAAATTATCCAGTAGCGCATTTCAAGGTTATTAAGCACCCTGTATTGGTTGCAGTAGGAAACTGAAAGTTGTTATAGATATTACAAATACCAGCAGGAAAAATCTAAGGGGGTGCACCGTTTTCTAGGATGACATTTTTTCCCCAATTTTTTTTTTACAAAAATTTGTAAAACAACTAAAATTACTTACGAATTTGGTCGAGTAGTAAGAGGTGGACCCTACAAATCGATAGGTCCAGGGTCCGATACCTAGTCGAAATATGTTATGTTAGGTTGTGGCGGTTATCTATAAGACTCACTTAGACTCCAGTCTCATTGTGATGCCGCATGTAGGGTCAACCACTCCCAATCCCTCCTAACCCCCTTTTGAATCTCTGCCAATTAGGCAGTATTTCTGCCATTAATAACAGCTTCTCATAAAAATACAATCGCCGCTCGGAGTCGGCGTAAAACTGTATGTTCCTCCCCCTTGTGTGACAACATCAAGGCGCTCGCCACAAATTGCAGGAGAAGCTCGGCTCGGTATTGCCTATTTCATCGTTTATATCATCAATAAAAAGTTTTGTGTCACGCCAGTTCATCGGCCTTGCAATTGCCCTCAATGTTGCAATTTCCTAGAACCGATATCACCTTTGGCGAAATGATTCAGACATCTCGTTAGGAAATGTTCGGCATTTCGTGGCTGCCATGGAGGTTGTCGACTGCTATCAATTCCGCCGAAGTTTTTTTCCAATAGCTTTTACCTCAATTCCTCTCTCAACTCGTTTCCCTTTTACCGGATCACACCTATTATGTACACATTATTCTCATTTGTCGCGATCATGCTACTCTATTACAATGTATATTATGACTTTGAACCTGCGATTTTATTTGACATTTGTTTATTTAATGTACACACATACATAATGTACACATGTATGTAGGCATGATTATTTATAGATACTATTGCCAGTAAGCTAAATCTGTATGAGTATGTCGTTATTATGAATTTGAATGCTTGCAACTGATAAATAAGATATACATATATTGACATTAATAAATAGTCTGTCACGGTGAGCAGTATCACCTAATATGAGTTATATTATTATACATCTGTCATCTACATCCAAACTTGCTGAAGTACATAGGTACTTATTTTTGTTGTTTATTACCATTTGGGTAAAATTATGAGTACATACATCAACTTCCATGCGATAAGGCCGATGAGATGTGCAAACATTTATTAATGTTTACACAGCTATTAAGGTTATACTTTTTTGTATTCTTTCTAGAAAGGTGCTAATTAAATTCACAGAATGTGGCAATTGCTTTTTTAAACTTTTTCTTTTTGTTTTTTTTTTTTTACATTTGCACATGAGTAAGATATAAGCATTTGCATTCTTACAAATAAATCACTTATTGATATTAAGCGAAAAGAACTAAACCAAATATTATCCAGCCGTTCAACATAAAAATAGATATTTCGTTCCTAACGAAAATATTTGCACAATGTGGTATGTATGTATTTTTTTTTTCGAATATGACGTCTGCCATCAAAGAGTACCCAGCTTCGATGAAAATATATAAGCCCTTAGCACACTCTCATGTCTTTGTTTGCTTACATTTGCAAATTATATACATCTTTGTCGTCATAGTTTTGAGAAATATTGTTATATCGCTGTTTAGCGTTTTCCAAATTAATGACCAGGATTGTGTTTATTCACTAACAGTCAACATCCCGAAAGGAATTTTAGTGAGAAATGATTTTAGTTTTTTTATGTGAAAATTTACAGAAAATAAAAAAATTATTTTCCATTTAAATTGCTGATGAAAGCGGCTTTAAGCGGTACTTAGATAAAAAAAAATGTTACACTTCTCTTTATAAGATATTGATGGTTAAAATATACATACATAAATGAAGATACTGGAATCGTTATTTTGGAACCATGTATGCGCTCTAAAAGAATAAACTGACACTAATTTTTTTGTATACAAGGCCGCAGAAAAAATGTTTTTAATTAAATTTTTCTTTCTTTGTGTAAGTAAATAAAAATTTTTGGGATTAAGAAAGTATAACTTTTCTGGTATTATCTGGTACGTATTTTAGGCTTTTAACAGGCCGATTGTTACTGAACATTTTGACACCGGAAAATTTTCCAAATAATAACACCACTTCTTGTAACCGCAATTCTAAGTACCTTGGTAACAATTTAATCTATTCGACAATCCAGCTATGAAGGTTTGTATAAATTCTTTTGTTGCATACTTCACGGGTCAATTTTTTGTTACCTGTTTATGAGATGGTAACAAATTTAGCAGTGCGCAGAATGCGAAAAGGGTTTAAAAATTACCAGGAACTTTATTTACCGGTAACAAAATTTTTGTTACCAACGTAGAATAGGCCTGTATATATAGGAAGCATTCAACAGCAGCAAGAGTATTTAATCGCCCGTACAACGATACCAAATGCTTAAGACTCGGTTAGGATTTTTTTTGTAAAAATTTTTTTCTTTCTATAAAAAAAGGTATTTTTTGCTTTTAAATGTTTTTTTCTCAAATTTTCATATACGAAGTATAAAAACACGCATATCAGAAGAAAGAAAGCTTGATTGCGCTTACAACGATACCAACTTTTTAAAAATCGATTAGTAATTTTTTTGTTTAAAATATTTGTTTATTATAAAAAAGGTATTTTTTCTTTTTAAATGTTTTTTTTTCTCAAGTTTTTACATATAAAGTATACAAATATGCATAGAAGAGAAGATGGGGGTCTAGTCACGTTTACAACGATACCAACTTTTTCAGAATCAGTTCAAAATTGTTTGAAATATAAGGTTTTTAATTTTTCGAAGACCCGTCCTTTGCCCCCTTATAGCACCTGTAATATAAGTTTGCAAAAAAAAGTTATAAAGCATTTAAATAAGAGCAAAAGACGGTCTACGACTGTTTTTTTACTTATTTACATTTTTTACCAAAGATCCTTTTTCGAACTTCGAAGGCCACTATCTCGGAAATAAATATTGGAAGTTTACAAGGATATTCAAGGATAAATTTTTGAAAGGAAATTTTCAACATTTATTCGTCCTGGTGCAACAAAAAATTAAACTTATTTTAAATTCTACAGAATTTTTCCTTTTAACTGATACCCATATTGTTACTCTACAATGCACCAAATCTTTTAAATAATTTTTTTATTCAATCATATCCTGGAAATTTCAAAGTCCTTTAAAAAAAAATTCTGACATCAGAGAGAAAAATTGAAAACGCAGTTATACTATATTTTTGTCTCCTAGTTTTGTGAATATATTGATTTTTTCGTGTGTTTTCAAAATTTTTAGTTTTTTTCGCAGTGTTTTAGTTACTAAAATTTAAAATTTTTTATTTTTTTTGAAATTCTAATAAAAAAGTTTGCAATTTAGGTGAAACCTTGCAGAATTGTTTAATTTTTGTAAAAAGTTTGCTCCAAAACCTGAGGTGAACCAAATTTTTTGTAAATGTACCACGTTTTTTTTTCAAGAACGCACTGAATTTTTTTTTCCCAAAGTCCGATCACTGATTGCGATACATGTGTAGCATAACTCGGCGGATTACTCTTTACCTAGTACGAATTTATGTACCTCTGTTATGACTTTCTTGGTTATGACTCACACTAAAAAACAACCAAATGAAATCTTATCGACTTTTAGCAATTTTGTACGTACTTAGAATCATACGATTGCTAGTTTGGTATTGTTATAAATAATAGTGGCCCAACTGATAATTTAAATAAAGATCAAGTGAAATTCGCATACGTTCTTGGGATACATATATAGTATGTATGTATTATACTCATAGCATTAACGCACACAAGGGGTGGGCTTTGGGGTTCTAACCCCTCCTAAAGCCAAATACAAACTGTATTTTAAAGCTTAGAACCCAGCTCTCTAGAACAATCACAAGAAATATTTCTTATTATTTCTGTTGCTTGAAAAAGCACTTTGGTTTTGCTGTAAATTTTCTTGAAGAAATAAATTTACGAGCATTTTTTTCTTGAGAGTTGCAAACTGTTTTATTAAATTTTTATAAAAAGAAAATTTCCTTTCCATTTTTTTGTGCGCCATTTTGGATGAATTATTTTTTCTTCAGAGCTCTTAAAAGTTTAACTGCGAATGAAAACAGTGTCCTAAAAATATGCAATGCATACTCATTTACTGTTGTTTTTTACACTCTACAGCCCAAAAGCGCTTACCACTTTTACTATGTACTTAACAAAGACTTGAAGATTTCATTTACCAACTTTAATTCGCATAACCAAAATGAGCTACATAATAGATATACAAGTTCTGTAAATTTTTTCGGTATTCGAAATATTAAAAAATGAAAATCACCAGCTTCAACGAAAACCAGAAACCAGAAATCGAGGAAAATGAACATTAAAACTTTTTTTTAACAATTTTTTTACTTTTGAAAGTTGAGCGCATCGTTGTGTTTATATAAATTTTTATTAAACAAGTAATTTTTAAGCAAAAAACACAACCGACTTCAATTCTCATAGAAATTTAGGGGTACCGTTAATTTTTTCATGATCCAATGATCGGATCTAAGCCAAATTACGGTAGCATACATAAAAAAAGAAAAAACAAATATTCCGAGGAATTGATAGCCTCCCTCTCTTTTTGAAGTCGGTTAAAAATGTTTCAGTTCTTTGTTAATTTTAAGTAAATAAATTTCAATTTATGAAACTTTAAAAAGTTCATAAATGTTTTTTAAAGAGCATATTATCGAAAGGGAATTTTCAGTATTTTCTGGTGATATATCTTTATAAGTTTTTACCCCTTCAACTTCAATTCTTCAGCTTTTACAACAATAAATACATTTGAGACACTCCAAGCTATTTAAATTAAAGTTATTATTTTGTTGTAAGCTGAGTATAATGTACAAACACCTCTAAGATATGGCAAAACTGGTGGGATTAAAACAAAAAATGAAATCTGCAAAAGTTATTCAACATCCAAAATACTAGGTGTCTCGGCGAAAGCCATTGTTTATAACATCATACCTCGAAAAATTGGTTATATCAAAAAAATCAATTCGTACTTTTTTATTGACACAGAGTGAGAGATTTATAAAAAAAAATAATAATTTATTTTAAGACTAATATTCCATACCTAAGCATACGATTGTTCATAAACCATAAAGGAAAAAATCATGTTTGCAGGTCTTTAAGAATTTGTAAAGGATCTATCAATATTGGGCCTGAGATATTAATTGTTTCGTAAAGCAGTGGCGGATAAAAAAATAAATTAAAACTTTAAATTAAAATTAATTCGAAATACGTGAGGTGGGCTACCTGAAACCTTTTTTCTTTCGGATAGCCAAGATATTGACGTACTTTAGAAGAAGTCTAGGTAATATTTATTTCCCTATAAGTACTTTGTTTTGAAATAATCCTCTTATTTTGCGAAAACTCGCAAATTTAATAAATATTAACATAATCATTTCATTAATTGGTTATATCTCCTGAACGGCCAGATATAAAAAAATATTCACGTTCTCGATGTTGTACAAAAAAGATGGAGTTTTACACTTTCTTTTTAATTGAAGTTATCTCTGCCCGTTCAGGAGATATGTATGACCAATCAAAGAACTGATTATGTTAATGTTGAAATTGGGTAAAAAATAACCGAGCCGAAAATTGCTTAGTGTGGGAAGTTATGTAAAAATGTTTTTTTTTTAAATAAGTTGAGAGTTCGACGGTATTAGAAAAATGTTCAAAACAGTTTCTTGCATTACTCGGCCAGCTCTACGACTTGTACTAGGTCACTTAAAAAGTTCGAGCCATTTTACCGTTTTTACCGTTTTTTTTTTTTAATTGGTATCGTTGTAAAGGATAGCAGCACACTTAAACTTTCTTAAACCCAAAAATTTCTATTTATATACCTAAAAAAAAAAAAAATATCAAAAACATTTTTTCTCTCTATATAAACTCCTGCCCCCTGGGGGAAAGGCTGGCTACTCCCAGTATCTAAATTTATGTATATTGTAGCTATCAATATCTTATAAAGAGAAGTGTAAAATTTTTTTTATCTAAAACTAATAAAGTTAGAAGGACGAAATTCGAGGATGTGGTAGTTAACATATTAGTCCTTGACATATATTTTTTTTTTTCAAAAATAAATATTGGAAACTTCCAAGGGTATTAAATGATAAAGATTTAAAAAGACATTTTCAATACTTATTCGTCCTGGTGCACCTAAAAATTAAATTTTTTTCTATTCTACAGAATTTTTCCTTATACTTGATACCCATATTGTCATGCTACAGTGAACCGAATCTTTTGAATTGTTTTTTTATTCAAGCATATTCTAGAAATTTCAAAGTCCTTTTAAAAAAAATCCTGACGCCAGAGAGAAAAACTGAAAACGCAGTTTTACTATATTTGGAGCCCATTTTTGTGAATATATATATTTTTTTCGTATATAAAATTGACTGTCGCACGGTGTTATCAGTGCCTTAGCAAAATGAAATTTATGGCAAAATGAAATTTATGACAAAATTAAATTTATGGCAAAAATCAAATTTATGGCAGTGTGTTACACATATCTCTGTCTATGAAATGGAAAGCGATTACATACATACATATTTTTTACGCCAAAAGTATCGTGCGTGGTCGAATTTGACCAACAAGAACTTTCATTTCGATTTCGTTTATTATCAACTTCGCTCACACGTAGTCTATTAACGGCCCCACAGATTAGTAGTAGTAGTGGTAGCAATTCTTTTTTGTATATTAACATTTAACAAAGATTTTAATAACTAAATAAATGACTTTAACTTTTATTAAGTTGTCGGTAGGATTATTTCGGCTGCTGCTCCGGTGCAGTTATATGAAGGCGGTAAAATTCTCTTCCTTCACACAAATTCAAAAAAATGTCAGCAAAAGTTGCAACTTTTTATTCATAATTTGTAAAAAATTGTGAGCGTGCTATTTTGTAACCCATTCAACTTCAGTCTAATGAAGGGCAAGTTTCAAACGGCTAAAAAATCCCGTTGATTTTTGAGAATTTTTTTTTTTTGGTGACGGGTTTGTGGACTTTGTTGCATATGTGGGTATATCTAAGTATAAATTTCTTATGAAATAAAATGCGAGAACCGTCAGCAAAAAAAATTTTCAAAAAATCAAATCAATCAATCAATCAAATTTGTAAATTGCAATTTTTATATAAAAAACCGCAAAAGCAGTCTCCAAACGAAATTCTCAAAAATCAACGGTTCAAACTTGCACTTCATTAGGCCGAAATTGAATGGACTACAAAACTGCGTACTCGGGAACTTTCTAGAAAAAGTTGAAAATTTTGATGAAAGTTTTTGAATTTTGGTGAGCTTTATATAAAGTGTGAAACTTTGATGTATATTGTATATATTATAGAATGAACTATATTTTCATATACATACATATAATTGGTGCAAAAATGTTTCATGAAAATAATTGTGAATATTATATTGGAACAAGGTGTATACTTTCATTTGTCGCTTAGTGTATATATATGAAACAAGTTTTTTCGATTTTATTGGCATGTGAGGTCTTATAAGAAAAACTGGAGTGCTTTTTCGTCTAAATCAATAAACTTTTTTCTACCGACCAGATATGTTTTTAGGATTAGGGGTTGTTTATCCTCAACCTAAATTAATCTTCCTTCCTATCTTCTCTTCTCTCTATTAAAATTATGGTACAACAAATTTTCGTAGCTGTTTTTTTTAAGATCTTATTTTTTATTTAACCTAACTTCTATAAGTTAAAGCTCATCATATTTACAGAGACAGAAACAAACTTGTTACTTTTCTAAAATTATTAAAATGTACTTATATCTTATCACTTTATCTGTATACGAATAAATGCTACATACACACATATCGTCGTTTAAAGTATATACATACACATGTACATATTATTTATATATTCACAAAATTGATAAACCTTAAGTTTTTATTCTCAAAAGCACAAATTAACGAAAACTTTTATTTTTTACAGATGGCGCGGCAGTATCTATAAATTAGTTTGGCTAGATCTCATCGCATTTCTCTTTCTCTACTACGTACTTAGTATAGTGTATCGTTTTGTATTAAATGAAAATCAAAAGCAGTAAGTTTTCACTTCTATACTATTTTCTTGCATTTATTTAGTTGCTTTTAAGGACTTGGTATATATTTTTAATTCGATGATATTAAAAGAACAACGACAGTAGATTTACATATAAAATTTAACAGAAGTAATTTTCGTTCATAAAAGTTCGGCTCACTTCGGCCCCAATAAAAATTGGCCGATCTTTGGCTGAAAAGTTGTGCATATATATATAATATTTTTAGTACATACTAAAAAAGAAATCTGTGGAATAATTCAATTCCCCAAAGGACCTTTTTATAAACTTTCCTGAAGCTTGTTTTTCGAAGTATTTGTTCAGGTATTAATTAAAAGATTAAAATAGTCTTCAAAACATTGCTTACTAAATTCTTTTACATGTAGATTTCTGACAACACAAAGTATTAAGCTGGCATTTCAGGGTACTATTTTATATATATATAAGGAAAATTTTTAAGGTGGGGGGGCTCGAGCACCCGCCTGCCCTGGCTACGCCCATGTACTGACGGTCACAGACGTTACCGCTGGCGCCCTAAAATACCTATTCTACTATATCAATTCGTATGATGAGCGTATGCATGACTACCTACATCTATACATTAGCGTGGGCCGAAAATCTGCTTTTTTAGAATTTTGATTGGCAATAGCAAAAATAGGGTTCATTATGATCTAAAAGCATTCTGTGTGAAAGATGACAATTTTTGGTCAAAATCTGAAGCCCGGCCAAGTCCATCAAAGTTCCAGTGCTAAAAAAATTTCTCTCAGCTTACTTTAAATCTCTACAAAGAAAGTCCATATACCAAATTATGTAGGACAAATACTTTCGAAGATACTTGCAATTTTAGTAAAAAAAAAATATTAATTCATGTATTTATTAATTGTTATTTTTTCGGCACATTTAACTTTGATGGACTTGCGCGAGCCTAAGACATTGCCCAAAAATTGTCATCTTTCACACAGAATGTTTTTAGAAGGCGTACAGCCGAAAATATTTTTTGAAGGCTGCCACCTGTTTGAAAATATTAACTCAATATGGGTATCAAACTGAAGTGGTTTAGAAAGGTTTACTTCCGAAAATATTTTTGAGCAAGGTTGCCACCCGTTTGAAAAATTGTAGTAAATTAAATTGATAAAATAAATTAAAGTTTACAATACCGGTATCAGACATCAGAAAAATACTTTTAAGGCGCAGTGAAGCACGCCGGGTATTTGCTAGTATCTAATAAATAATAACCAAGAGTAAAGTTTCCGAAAAACGGTTGAAAATAGTTTTAACTTCAAAAATTTTCAATTTGTTTCGGCTTGGATCGTGGCCGAATATTTTTAAATTTAGTCGAAATTCGCTTCGATATTACCATTATCTCACTAATGAGTCTATATAGTCTAGGCAATGTCAAAAATTTATATTAAAATTGGATTATTACAACTCATCGAAATCTTAAACTTTCGAGGCTCATTTACTATTTACATATGTATTATTATTTATGTTAGATCGTAAATAAATACTAATGGCCTTATTCATAAAAAATAAAGTAGGTTTAAAAAGTTGTAATTGGCATTTTTTTATGAATAAAGCTACAAATAAACCTTTAATGAAATCAAAGCTAAGCCCAATTAAGTAAAAGAAAATATTATTACCACAAATATCAATCATTTATCTATGCAGAATATTCGAAGGCGTTGCCAAATATTGCTACAGCTACAGTGATCTTATACCGCTGTCCTTTGTGCTGGGTTTCTATGTGTCCATAGTGATGACACGATGGTGGAATCAGTACACCAGCATACCTTGGCCCGATCCGATCGCCGTTTTTGTCAGCGCCAATGTCCACGGACAGGATGAACGTGGGCGTGTTATGCGTCGTACAATTATGCGTTACGTCTGCCTCTGTTTAACAATGGTGTTGATTAATGTGTCGCCGCGCGTGAAAAAACGATTTCCCGAGCTAACACACCTCGTCGATGCAGGTCTCTTGAATGACAATGAGAAGGCGATTATCGAGAGTATGAATAAGGGATTTCCGCGTCACTCCAAGCATTGGTTGCCCATTGTGTGGGCGGCAAGTATTATAACGAGGGCACGCAAGGAAGGACGTATACGTGATGATTTTGCGGTGAAAACAATTATCGATGAATTAAATAAATTTCGAGGTCAATGCGGTTTACTAATATCGTACGATACGATCAGCGTGCCGCTTGTGTATACGCAAGTGGTCACCTTGGCGGTCTATTCGTTCTTTCTCTGCTCGGTGATGGGTCAGCAGTGGACCCAGGATAAGGAGGCTTTTCAGAAGATCGATTTATACTTTCCAGTATTTACGACACTGCAATTTTTCTTCTACATGGGTTGGCTAAAGGTGGCCGAATCGCTGATCAATCCATTCGGTGAAGATGACGATGATTTTGAGGTGCGTTTAGAAAACGTTTTCAATTTTCTCTCTCTTTCTGGTATTATTTATTTGTTAAACATTCTTGCAATAGGTCAACTGGATGGTGGATCGTAATCTGCAGGTCTCCTATCTAATAGTCGACGAAATGCATCACGATCATCCCGAACTAATCAAAGATCAATACTGGGAAGAGGTGTTCCCCAATGAACTGCCATATACCGTGGCGTCTGAACGTTTCCGTGAGGAGCATCCCGAACCGTCTACAGCCAAGATCGAGGTGTCGAATAAGGCCGCCATGCCAACAACGCTCTCTAGCGTACGCATCGACGAAATGGTTGGTAACAAAGGGTCAACCAAGCAATTGTCGTTACAAGGGCTAACCCAAAATCCAGATCAAACCCAAACACAGACACCAATGCAAGCAGTTAATTATAAATTTCCTGAAATGTCACAAGAAGAGGAGGTTAGAATCAAAATTCTCGAGTGCCTTAAAAAGCACTGCAATAATTACTACAAATACAACTTCAACTTTAATGCAATATTGGCAGCAATTTGAAATGCAAAATAATTACTAATTGGCTTAACCTACACATAAATAATTTAACGTCGCTGCGAAACTAATCGTACAACCCGAACTATGTAAAGCTGGTTGCAAAAAAGCAAAAGCTGTTAACGTCTCTGTCTAACTGCAATACATATGTACTTGTGCACCTATTTCTCGTACTATGTACTTGATGGAACAGAGTTTTGCAAACTTATAAATGTGTATCTACTTCAAGTTAATAATCGAATTGATGGATAATTGGCCTAACAGACGGTGTTTGGGGTGCACTTTCACATAGTTAAATTTTTGTGTACATGTATGGTTTTGGTGTTTTTCTACTATGTATACCTATACCTATATACGAAAATATATATATATATATATATATATATATATATATATATGTATATGTATTTTACAGGTACAATAAGGTCAGTCGCAAACAAGTGTAATTTACATAACAATAGCTGCATACTACATATGTATGTATTTATGCTTAACTAGTTTAATTTTATTTTAAATTTGTTGGCTGCTACTGTACCTGAAATATATTTAACAGACATACTTCGTATTTATTAACGTTTAATAGAGCTGTCAAACTATCGATAGTCAAGTCCATCGATGTTTAACGATAGTCTTAAGGGTGACTATCGATAGTATCGACCCATTTCATATGTTTTTATGAATCCATTTATTTTTCGCTATCTTGCTTTTAAAAATTTGTTTATTTTAGTGGCTCACGGTTGCATTTTAGTATCGAGAAATATTGCTAGAAATTCATTCGCGGTGTAAACAGTCAAAAAGCGATTTCATAAATTTTCCCTGCAATTCGCCTTTTGGAAATAAAAAAAAATCTTTCAAAAGACACTTTACGTGGAAGGTGCCGCTGCTCATGCAACTGCTTTCTGAAATTTCTCAATTTGACAGTCTTTTTTAAATATACTGCATTGCCCGGTCTGACACGCTCTTAAGACGGCAATGTAACCTCTGCTATTCCCACGCTTAAAATAAAAAATGGCGCTTTTAGAAATAATTCCATGAACCAACTAAACAGATCACCCAGCACGGCAACCGCGTATTTGTAATTGCATTTGAGAAAAAAAATAATAATAGTTGATAACGTCATTTTTTAATCGGTTGTTTCGTTCACACGCATGGTTTCATTCCGTTTCATTCACATGGCGGCGAAAAAATTACGTCACTGCGAAAAAATACTCTTTTCTCGCACACCGTCCTGGGTGATCTTTATTCGTTCGTTCATGAAATAATACTGCCTACTTTGGTTCTCTTTGAACCAATACGTGCAAATGTGAAAAGCGCTAGGAAAGAGAATACGCTATCAATGAAACGATAGTGGCGATAGTACTAAAACTATCGATAGTTGTTTCAAATGACCAGACTATCGATACTATCGATAGTATCGTCGATAGTTTGACAGCTCTAACGTTTAGCTGTATACGCAGCTTTGCAAAATAACCTTCATTGAGCATTCTATATCTACTACTTGTGTATGTATGAATGTGTATTTGCATGTAAAAAATCAAAAAATATGTCTACTTTTTAATCAAGATTTAGCTAAAACCCATGGAATTAAAGAAAATCCTTCATAAACGCAAAAATTACTAACAATAAAAAATATAAATAAAATAATTTAAGAATTTCGTTAACTAGTAACATTCTCCGAGACAATTGCATTCCAAACTTCAACCACGATTTCCCAAAACTTGCCAAAAGTAGCATACAACAATATTTTATCCAGCCGATGAGATGTAAATACATACATACAGAGGTAGTATTGACATAATGCCCAACGAAGTTAAATTTGCAATGCTGTGTATGAACAGAGAATACACTCCTTATTATTGGCTGGAAAAACAAAATTTTGAACCACCCTATTATTACATTTTGTTTGCACTTAAACTATATTCAAAGATCTTTTCAGTCTTAAAAGTAAAATTTGATTCTAATTCTTTCTTCTACAGCAGCTGTAAAATTGCTTTACTTAAATACATATATATTTCTATATACACACATACAAGCGTATATTTGCAAGTGTAGTTTTAGCAAAATGTAGACTGTAGTATATACATATATTTATTTACAAAAAAAACTACTCCAAGTGTTAAACCGCCTTCGATGTAGAGTTGCATTTTTCGACACCTTAAAATAATTAAATTGTTACACATATAAGTTTGGATAGTATGCATATGAATACATATCGCTTGCTTAAGCTGAAACGTTGCTAAGTCCATTTTTACAAATTTCACAGGGAAAGAAAAAACTTCAAACAGGCCTTTATTCAAGTGTTTTGCAAAACTTAAATACAACACTTTTGCAAAGCAATAATCCTTACGAATCTGAAAGATTCGATCTTTATTAAAATAATTCGTATTTTTTGGGCTTATCGGATTTTCGGAGCCTATTTTGGACTTAGCTAAATTGCATTTCATTGAATATAAACGCGAAAAAATTAAACAAATACTTTAATCGTTTCCGAAACGGTATATTTTTAATTACTATGGCTTCCTGTATCAAAATACGAGTTTCACAAAAATTGTAATTAGCAACTTTTCACTCTAAGCGAGTGATATGTGCATACATATCTCTGGTTTGCTGGAAAAACATCGTATACTAAAAAATTACTTTTTTTAGTTAAGTGTGTATGTAGTATGTGTGAAAAATTCATACCGATACCTGAAATTGTCTCTTAGGAAAAGAAATTGCTTATTTTTCAGATTTACTCTTTTCCATGTCAATCATGCCTTTTACCAGATAAAGGTCCCTTTCGGCATGAGAGATATAACATATAATATATATAAAATAAAATAAAAAATATAGCCAATACTAGTCAAGAAAAGGAGTTTCTATTATTGCCAGCAGTGCAAATTACAAATCCCGAAAATCCCGGGATTATTTTCCAAAAATCCAGGGATTTTTGGGACCTTAAAAAGGCCAGGATGCCGAGATTAACATTCCTAATACACACACGCATAAAACATATTTATTTTATAATAATTTTTTGTGTACTTTCATTTAAATTAATTTCGTGACACGCACTCAAATACAACTAAGTTGAATTCACTCAAAATCACTGCACTATAGCACACGTACATATGTGCGGTAACAGGGTTCTGGATTTCACTTTAACCGCACGCACCTCAAAACTGTGTTAGTCTAACTTTCACGGATTTATATATTAACTGCACGCACACTTTCTAAATATCTTAACCATATAACTCCATCAATTGGCTATTTCCTACAATGCTTTGGGTAACAAAATATATTTGACAGTTCTGTAAACAAATTGCAATTGGAATTTTTTTTCTACATTCATATTAACAAAACCATGTATGCATTTCCGCACTCAATTTTATAGGCCGATGATGCTAGTGGCATTCATTTCACAGCCGGCAATGGCAAGGTGCGACACGGCTCTTCGCCCAGCCTTGCCAGCTTAAGTGGCACATTGTCACGCGTCAACACAGTCGCATCGGCGCTAAAGCGCTTCCTCAGTCGTGAAGAGCGTCCCGGCTCCACAACACCAGTCGATGAGATTTCACAAAAAAATCGTTTTCCTGGCAGTGCAAGTTCGGCCAGTCTAACCGGCAATTTGATTATGAAGCCACCCGGTAGTATACGCATCACTGATCAAGTCATCGAAGAGGTCGACGAACAAACCACAATCACATCGCAGCGTGCCAACGATCAGGTACGCCCGAATGTGCGCGATATTTTCTTGCAGGATCTCAACAATCAAAGTTCATCGGCGGCACAGCGCTCCGTGCCTATGGATATTCCGCCCAGACCCGCGTCATACATGCGCACACAGTCCACTTACGAGCCAACGCTCTTTCCGCCGGGCGGTGTGGAGGCATTGCTTAGCACGTCTGCGCCAACGAATGGCAGTCCACGCATGGTGCAGACAGTGCCAAACTCGCCAGTTGCTGATCCATCGAGCACCAAATCTCTCTTCGATCAGCAAATCAATCAGGAAAAGGGCAGTTGCGAAACGGGTAAGTGTGAAAATTTCGAGAGAGAGTTTGATGCATAAAAACACAAACAACTTCAGCATTAAAAAAATTTCATTTATCCATTTTTTTTTTTTGTTTTGGAAATCAGCATTAGAACGTCCCGCCGATGCGCCGCAGGTTTTCAGATGGTTTTTATCGACTGGTAAAATTTTTGTTAAACCTTTTTTTAATTTTGCTAAATTCCTTGTTGTTTAGTTAGTTGTTCCTTTTCTAAGTATAGTGAACAAGTTCGGTTGCTTTTTCTCTACATATGTAGACTTTTGTAACAATATTTATTGGCATGTTTTGTTTTTGATTACTTAATTATTGTTTAAAGTGTTTTATGCGCTGTATTGCAGACGAGAAAAATTAAAATAAGTTCGATATTAACCCCAATTTGATTCTTTGTTTATACTTATTCGAATTAGGATTGCTTAGCTGCCGTTAACTTTTTTGATATTGTACTGTGATACACATAGATAGATACATACATACGTACATACTTCTTGCTACGAAATTTATATTATTTTATATCCGTAAACTCATTTCCAATACGGGTAAATATTGGATTTTATAACAGAAAGAATCTTTATTATTAACAAGTAATTTTTAGCAAAAAAAAACGGACTTCAACTCTCATATAAAAAAAAATATATATATATATGTGACCTGGTCTACGAAAAGGGAGCTTACGTGCGAAAAAAGTTTTCTGTGAAAAAGCTGTTAAAAGTGAAAATCATCTCATCTTCCATCCGAATCAACCAAAAAGTGAAAATTGATTTTTTGACACCTAAGCCCCCTTTCCGTAGACCAGGTCACATATATCTCATGATCCGCTGATCGGATCTTAACCAGATTAGTATGGGACCACCTCTGAGACACTACCTTTCCGATGCAAAAAGAATTATCGAAATCGGTTGACGTGGCCCAAAGTTATGCGGTAACATACATACAAAAAAAAATATTCCGACGAACTGATAACCTCCTCCTTTTTTGGAAGTCGGTTAAAAATTAGCAAATTTTTCATGTGATTTACGGAAAAGCCACATAAAACCACCCTGGTTTTCTTCCATTTCAGCACTTTTCTTTGAAATTTACCATTCTTCTAAATGAGACTAAAATCAGGCGTCTTTGATGTCAACAAGTAAAAGTGTGAGCCCAGCTTTGAAGAGTGCCAGGGTTGTTGCGAATATTCGCATTCGCAACCGAGGAGCTTCCGCATTAATTTTAACATTTGCATCCGCTCTCGCATTCGCAATAATCAATTCGGAGCTTTTGCGAACGCGAATATTATGCAAGTGCACTGATATAAAGCGTCTATCTGGCACAATGACAATTATGTACCTAATTATGGAATATTATTTGCCAAAGTTCTGTTGCAAAAACTGGATGCATCTCTAGTTTCTATTTACTATTTTGGAAAAGCCTCAAGCTAAATAAAAATGGGTGAATATAATTGTTATAAGGCCACAAAATAACTTAAGGACGAACACACCTAAAAGTTAAACATTATTTTTTATATATACTATTATTACCAAAACCAACAACCACATGAGTAACTTCGAATAGCACTGGAATAGCTGCGCTTGATTGTAGTTGGCTTCACAAATGAAAAAAGTGGAAAAAAGCAACAAGAATTTGCAAGGCGAACGTAAGCAACTGGCTGAGTCAGGTGGGGTCGTTAGATCGCATCCCACTGATGAGGAAATGTGGTGATTTTCATAATTATTGTTGCATTTCCACATTAGTTTTTCATTAAAAACGGCCTCAATAAAAATTTTTGAATATAATTGTTATAAGGTCATAAAATAACAACAAACAAATTTATTTTAATTTTGTGATAATTGTCAAAATTTGCACGCAGCGAAATAAAAATAAAATAGAATGTGAAAAAGTTGAGTTAAAAATGACTAGCCTCATAAACCTAAATCTCATAGCTAACTTACCTAAATTATTTCTTAGAAATACTTGACGTCCGCATTCACATCCGCATCCGCGAAGTTAGCTTTTAAACATCCGTATCCGCATTCGCAACCGTGGATGTCTAAAATTCCACATTCGAAACATCCCTAATATGTACATACATTAGGGAGTGCCAATATAGTTTTCGAATGAATAGGAATTGAGCAAAATTTTAAAATATATGTAGATATGTTTAGACTTGGCAATTATTTTTCAGTATTACTCCCGAACGCTTATTTGTATTTTGTATTCAGGGCTATCACAGACTCCGAATGGCTATGAACGTCAATTCGAAATTCGTAGATAGTTATCGTAATGAAGATTCGTAGAGATATTCTACAACGATTTTGTGATGTCGGAACAAAATTTAAAATCACTGAATCTTAAAAATATTGGAAAAAGCTGCATTATTGTTAATAATCTATATTTATTACATAAATGTGTACATACATACATTCATCTGCTAGTCGCAATTTAATGAATGAATATTTTTTTGAAGCGTGGAAATAATAGCTTAAAAACAATTTATTAGGAAAAAACCAAATTACTTTAATATCATAAAAATTAATATAAAAAAAAAATATTTTACTCTTTAAAATAATGAAATCTTCTCTACAAAAAAATACTGAAAAAAGAAAAAAAATTAAATAAGAAAAGAAAAAAAGTTCCGCTGCCGAACGACTCGGATCTCTCACATGGCAGTCTATGTTGCTCACTGGGCCATTGCGACTGCTGCGGCAGCATGAGCAAAATGTCATACATACAATATGAAAATGTCTATTGTTTCCCTTGCACTAGCTGATTTCGAATCAGTATTCGAAATTGGAAATGATATTTTCGAGTTCATTTGGATTGAGTGATAGCAATTTTTTGTATTCGTAGCAGGCATTCGAATTCGTAGATTTTCCATAATGGATTCTGATTATATTCCTGTAATTGTCCTTGTCTATCTTCTCTACTATTTAGTATTTGGCCAACTTTACCTCACAAAATGATGAGGTATATCTTTACCTATTTAGCAGAGTATTGGCAAAAATTTAGAACAGATTTCATACTCATACTTTATTATATTTAGTTATACCTGTATAAACATGTATATGTATGCATAGTTGCGATCCCGTACGAGTCCGAACTAGTCAGATTTTACTGGCAATCGATCTCGTACTTGGGTTTCTGACTATTCAGAGGAAAACAAGAGAGTAAAAACGGTTCTCTCTTTGTCAGAAGTTACCAGTTTTAGTCCGAGAATTTTTTGCTGGTAAATTCTGGTAAATGTGTCAAACGATCAGCTGTAGTTGTGTTTGGTAACCAGATTGTAAACAAAAGAAAAGTGCACTCTGCTAATTCATGTTGAAAAGTATTTAATAACTTGTTTAAGTGGATTCTAATCAATTTGATAGTATTTTCGGTTATTTACATGCGTGAGCTGAGTGTGTTTACATACAAAATAAGCAAAAAATTACAATCAAAATTGGGAGGTTGTGTTGAAGTTGACAGGAGTTACCATTTTTACTAGAAAGCGATCCCGTACTTTTCAATGTTACTCTCTCGCTCTGAGCGAATTTTTATTTTCTGACAGTTTTACTAGTTTTGGTCCGAGGAATACGGGATTGCACCTTATATTTTTGAGCATTTCACAGCTGATTAGCATGCATGCATATATTTAGGTATGTATAGTTGAGAAGTTGTTACATGAAGCACTACTCAAAGAATTGTTTGGGAAATGCTGCTTAATCATTGACATTTTAAAAGGTAGACAAAATAAATGTATTAAACTTTTTACTTGTCGAAAGTATTTTTTTGTTGGTTTTTAGTCACAGTTAGCACTTTTATTAATAGTAGTGGTCTCTTAGTTGTTTTCATTGTTATTATTGGGACCAATTTATTCGATCGTAGTTATATTTTATGACCGTTTTGGATTAAATTTGATTGAAAAATTTTGTCTGTTATCTGTCTGGTAGGTTTTTTTTATAGACTGGTATACAAAAAAAAACATAATAAAAAAGAAACAAAGCAGCCATTTGAAGCGCAGAAAACAAAAAAGTCATAAAAAGGACCATGTGGGGACTTTCATGGCTGTCATGAGTTCAATTTTCGCCCGAGATCGTTATGTTTTCGCTTCAATGGATTCATTACGGGCGGTTGCAAAAAATTCGAGCGAATTCCTTTTCGGGCGAAACTAACGATAAGGCTGAATATCAAGGCGAATCTATACAAGGTGGTGTTACCGGGCCCGCTGATTTCACGGCGAATTTGTACCTTTTGTCAAAATTATGTGTTTGTTGTAATTTTGTTTTGTACTGATTGTCAATGGGCGTGTAATTTGTTATTGTAATTTTTGTTTTTGTTCTGCTAACACCACCTTGTATAAATTCACCTTGCTAAATATGTTTACAGACACTTTTATCAAAGTTAATAAATCCGGCCCCGAATCGCGGCACTCAAAATCGAACGTAACTCGAATGGAAATTTGTTTTTGGGATCGCGACATTCGATATCGAGTGTGCTTCGCCATTTAATTGCATTCGTTTCGAAATCACAAATGTGTGCGTCGCATAGGAAACCTTCATAACTGCCACCAAATAAACTAAAGCTTTTAAATCTTCTAAAGTGGATCGAATATTTTCCTAGACATATATATCTACTATTTATTAGAAAAAAACTGTTTTGATGAAGAAATTGTTTTTTGTTAACGAAAAAATCATCGAAAATACTCTGTGCATACTTATGTCAGAAATTTATATAAATTTGTATCCGATTCTTAAATGTCATAAATTTTGTACTTTTAATGTTTTTATTTTTAATTATGTACATATATGTTATCGAAGCCTTCGAGGGCCAAACCCAGTAGGTTGAACTTGAAATAAATTAACACTTCGACATCGAATTGCTCAAAATATCTACATACATATATATGTATTAGTTTATAGAACCTCCTCCAATTGCATGCTAGCTAGTTAGAAAGCATAATTTTATTTCTCATTGAGTTCCATTGGTGATTACATACGGTGAATGTCAGTGAAAATCGTGCAGTAATTTTTTTTTTTTTGTTTTACTTAAATCTTATTAATTCTTACTAAAAATATATATACATATGTAGTTCACACTACAAAAAAAAACCATAAAACCCAAAGCTTCTAACTTTTTAACAATTAAAAAAAACGTAAAATTTTCATTAAAATCTCACACATTTTATCCAGAATTTTTTGGCTCTGCGCTATTACATATATAGTTATTTTTTTTTATTTATCGAGGGTGTTGCATATTTTCTTCCATATAAGAACAGATTTTGTTCATGCGTTATATGGATGAAAACGCGAAACACCATCTCAAAAAAAAAAATTGCCAAAAATCAACGGTTTTTGTAGCGTCCTCAAACTTGCACTCAAGTTAAGTGGCCTAGTAAACTGCATACCAAAAAATTCTACAATTTTTATGGAAATTTGACGATTTTTTTTTTGTCACAAAGTTACAAACTTTGAGTTTAGGAAATTTGTTCGAGTGTAAACTATATTGTATTAAAAATTTGTAAAATTCAAAAACACCAAATATTTTCAAAAAGTTAAAAAAAAAATAAATACTGTACGATTTTCACTGACACTCACTGTATGTACTATATAATAAACAACTACACTCACTTTCACCTCATTTTTGTGTTTCACAGTCGATGACATGGAAATCAAATCGACAACAGATGCGCCTGGTGGTGATGATGAAGGCGATGATTTCGATAAATTGAAAGCCGCGCGCGAAAAGGAGCGCATGCAGCGGCAACAACAAAAACTGGCACGCACAATCAGCGCAGCGCCCGGCGTCGATGGTGGTCCTACGGTTGTGCCCGTGGTAGCGGCTGCGATAATACCAACTGCCGTTATGCAGCAGCCAGCGCCGCAACCACCACTATCCAATGTTCCATCCGGTGCAGATCTTTTGACCAGTAATGCGGCGGTAAACACAAACGTGGAACCACTCACAACCTCAACAGCGAAAACCTCGCCCGATGGTGAGGTACAAGAGGCTAACAAATAAATAAGTACAGATGCATTATTGAATGGGTGGTAAGAGTTTTAAAGTGCGTACAGTGCTTATTAAATGTATGCAGAAGAAGCATTTCTTGAAGAATAGAGTTGATTTTTTTTATTTTTTTGTGGAATCGGAGAAGCTTTAAGTAAAAAAATAAACTAGTTTTATAAGGTTGTACTCATTAAAAATGCGCATAAGAAAACAATAACAAAACAAAGATATTTTCTTCTTTTCACAACTCTTATTCAAAATAAAAAATTAATCGAATGAGCGTAACACGATACTTTTCCGATGTCGACAAGTTCTTTAAGAAAACTACTGTACTTATGTAATTGAAGCAGAGTGTGTCAATTTTGTATTTCTTTCATAGAATTAAGTAGTAATCAGAGTTATCGAATTTGTAACAATTAAGCTTAAGAAGTTTTGTATCCCAAAAGCATGTCAGCGGCAAATGTGGCCTAGCACACGCTTGAGAATTAGTTTCCTTTTAACGTTAATATGTGGTAGCTTTTGAAAGATATAATATTGAATCTGAGAACCCGGTTTGTGTTGTCGTTTCTCAATTCTCGATAGCTTGTGTTCTATATGTATCTATGTGTGTATATTTGGGTGGTCCAAAGAAGTTTTAAATGTTAAGCCCTCTCCCTCTAAGATTTTTCAAATGGAAAAACGAATACCCATATTTTTTTATTACAAAGAAATATTTAGAACTGCCTCAAAGCCCATGAACTTTTCCATGTATTTTATATGGGGAAATAACACTTTTACGTAGAAATGGTATAGAATTCTTGAAAATAAATATTTTTCGATCGGAAAACTCTGTTTCTCTTCAGGAGAATTCAAATAACAATACCCAATTGGCTATTTAACCATTTCCTAATATTAATTATTTTTATAGGTCCCAAAAAAATGCAACAGGAGGAGCCATAATCAATCCTTGGTAGTAGGCAGTTCTAAATATAATTTTTTTTTTACAAAAAAGTGCGGGTATTCTTTTTTTTCATTTAGCCTGCGTTTCTTTATACATTCCGGATAATCCAATTTCACAGCCGGAATAAACAGAATGCGTTTGAAATATACGTCAACATATCATCAGGAACGTTCTAAAGAATAAATAAACAAAAAAGTTTATTCCAAACGTTCAGAATGAATCAAGAAATGCAGCCTTAGAAAAATCTTAGGGAATGAGAGCTTAACATTTTAAACTTTTTCCGGCAGGCGAAAATCCATTTTTTGAAATTTTGACGCGCACATGCCTTATTACTGAAGAATTTTGAAAATAAGGAGATCCGTATTTTTTTATTTCTAAATAATTTAATCCCAGAAGATAATTTAAACAGGCCTTCTTAAGAGAAGCCATTCTAAGAGGCCTACTGAAGAAGGGCCGAAAAAAGTACTTCCTTGCATGCCTTCTAGAAGGGCTTATCCATTTACAATTTACGCGAATGCATAAATTTATATTATTTAGTATTACAAATGAATTTCAATAAACATTTTGAGTTGCAATAACACATACTTGATATAAACCTTAAGCAAATACTTCAAAGATGTATGATTTTTATAAATTAAAGAAGCAACTGACGTAGCTCCTGGAAAGCCTTCCATGGGTAGCGAAAGAAGAAGCCCTTCAATTTGTGCCACTCCATACAATAAGGAAAGGAATGTAGAGTGGACGGCCTCTTGACTCAGGAAGACCTTTCGGAAGGGCTTTTAACTGCTGAAATTATCTACTGGGATATTTAACAGTGCCGTACATTGAAAGCCCCGGCGGCACAGTTCAAAATAAAAAAATATGGGTATCCTTATTTACGAAATTATCCAGTTCTGGGGGTGGCTGGAAAAAAAACTTTATATACATACATATTTCTAAACGGAAATGCAAATAATGTCCCAATGAAATGTAGAATTCACGCAGCAATGCTTTAAAAGATAAAATGCGCCGAAAGCAACACAGCAGAAAATAGAAAACCGCGAGCATGGAACCTTTCAATTAAACTATATAAGCGCAGCTTATTGAGAGTGTAAACAATTACTTTTTTGTTTTAATATTATTTAAGCATTATAGATAAATCGAAATTTGTATTATCGGATATTATTGGTGCTTTTCTTCAAGTAGCATTAAGGGAATATGCTCAGAAAATTGCTGAATCGAAATGCTGACAAATAATAAGTTTATGTTTACATATATAGTAGGTATATAGCTTATGAGCTTAGTAGCTCACAAATGCCGCTTATATGTATGTACGTACATAAATACATACATGCATGCATGTATTTACATGTGCTTGGCTCACGCACAGGGGCTCATGTCATTGTTGACAATTAGAATTACGCTAAAAATTGCAAGTGATATAATCAAAAGACATACCTACATAAATATTATGTATGTACATAAAATATTTTTCGAAAAAGTATATGATTTATGAGTTAAAGAATTAATAAATAGACAAATAAGTGTATGTACATACATACACGCATATGTAGATCAATAACTAACGAAATATGACGATATTAGCAAGGAATAGCAGCGCATGACTGTAGAAACTTTGAGTATCTACCTACATACATACATATACATATAAGTATGTAAGCGGTTGTGCAAAGTTGTTTGGAAAGATACTTATTTTAACTAATATATAATACATACATAAATAGGGCTTAGGTGCTAGAACAATAATTTTGATCATTGTATTATCTTAATTATGCGAAAAGTAAATAGAAAAACGCGACAAGAAATATTTATTATGTAAAAATATTTTAGTAATTTGTGCTACGAATAAGTAATTTAAGTAATCTCCTTATTAAATAAATGCAATTATTATTTATTAATATACATTAATGCATACATATGTACATACAAATAAATTGGTTAAGTTAATAAATTTCTTACCTACACTTGTAGGTACATAACTGAGCTTAAGCAATTTTATGTAA